CTCTCTCTCTCTCTCTCTTTGCGGCTGGCCTCATGGTACTGCGCCCTCCATAGGATGAGCAAAATCGAATGAATCTGGCGCTATAGCGTGGGAATATACACTGCCATACTTTTTTTCGTTTTTTTTTTGGTTTTCTTTTTTGGTTTTTTTTTTCCGTTTTTTCCGTTCTTTCACTCCGACGTTCGGGATGCCTGCGCCCGGTAGTCCGAGCCTCGGCACGGATCGGCCTACCGGTTGGCCCAGGCTCGGACTCGATAGCTGGGCTAGGTACTGGTGGTTTAAGGGGTTCAGGCAGTGGTCTATTGAAGTTATTCAAGATTTGCGCAGGGGTCAGTCCATGCTCTGGACATTGCAGCGACTCATCCATAGTGGCCTTGAGTGCTGACGCACTCTTCCTCTTACGGTCATGAATATTGAGGATAAGGGACTCTGTAGGGCGGGCTAGGTTCTTATCTTCGAACCGGTCTTTTAAAGCTTCAAAAAAGTCCTCTACCCTAGTTCGCTGTGAGTAGTGCACCATCCAGGTGCATCCGACCTGCTTCACTAGGGAAATAGCAAAGCTTGCCGCGTCCCCTCCTAAACATGAACTCGCTATCAGTACGGGGTCCCAATATGGAATCAACTGCGCGTACAGATAGGTATACATAGCTGCCTCGCAATGGAAAATACTTTCTTCCCTTTTCCCAATGTACGTGCAAGGGAGCTTCACCTTCATCTTCTCCCTTTGCTCTCCTCCCTCAGACTTATCTTCTTCTCTTTTCGCTCCCTCCTTCATGGGACCCTTTCCTTTTTTGTCACCATCCCCATCATCACCACCATCTCCACCCCCATCACCGCCTCCTGCCTTAACTGCAGCGATAGTGTTTGCTATCTTGTGAGTGAAGAGTTCATCTAATTGGTGGGCATAATCCAACGTTCTCTTATCTATCCGATGGGATGAAGCGAAGTTATTCCAATTACTTTGGAATCCTTCTTGGTGTTGCTCAACTCTCCCTACACTTTTCTGTAGTGTGTTGAGTTCAAGGGTGGTGTGCAGTAGGGTGGCTGTCAAGAGTGTAAGAGTCTTCTCCACTTCCAGTTCCACTTGTTGGCCCCCACTCGCAAGCGTTATGTGGGGCCATCCATTCTTTTCACTTTCTTAGCTCCAGCGTGTTTCGTCCCCACCACTGGAGCCAGTGGAGCTGGCCCCACAGCCGAGTGAGACCAAATGGGACCCTATCATTACTGCTCAGTCGCCCTTGCGTTCAATTCGACCAACTATTAGCCGCATTTTGGCCACCCGAAGCGTGACCCTGCCATCACCCCTTGGTGGGACACGGTTGCAGAGACGATCTGGCCATTATCACCAATCCAGCCAATCACATCCATCATGTTGACCACGTCAACCAACCAATCACACCCATTGTGCCGTCTGGTCACGTTTACCGTACCGACCGCTCACACCGACCATGACGACCTGCGCCGATCAACCGCTCACATCCATCGTGCCTTCCGACTGATCACATCCACTGCATGACATATCCGATCATGTTTGTGTCGTCCAACCGAGCACACCCATGTCATTCGACTGATCACACCCGTCGTGCTGACCGATCACACCCATCACGTCGATTGATTGATCACATCCATCACATCTGCCAACCGGTCATATCCACCGCGTCGTCCGATCAAGCACATTTATCGTGTCGACTGACCGATCACATCCACCATGTAGTCTGGCCGGTCACGTCCCTCGTGCCGACCAACCACCGTGTCAATCGCCCGCATTTACCAAGGCATTGACCCTGATCATGTTGCCGATTCCAAGATTATTACTCGTACCTCCCCACACTATCGCCCCATGATCAGCCCCAACCTTTGCCTTTGGTAGATTTTAACAAACCCCTTAGGTGGCGGTAAGTATCAAAGGTGCCCTTTCCATGGCCCTCGTCTTTCGTGATTTTGACCTCTTTGCCGAAGCTCCCATTTGTTCATCTCTCTCTTTGCCTTTCCCTTGGAATCCTCATTTTTCTGCCCGTCTTCGACCCCACTCACGATCCTTACCCGGATCATCCTGTTGGTTTGGCTAAGCGTTAGTCCAAAGTCAAGAAAACCCAAAATTTCCCCCAAACCCCTCATGCAACCTCAATCAAGCAAGAAAACAGGCAAAAGCAGGTAAAAGCAAACTCAAAAACATCCACATTCTCAATAAAAAGGCCATCGGCTGTTAGGCAGCCACCCGATAGCGGCACAAGGCACTCTTGCCTACTGGCTGCAAACGGCTGTCTTCAGGTTGTCGCCGGCAGGTTGTCGCCGGCAGGTTGTCGCCGGCCGTCTTCGCTATGGGCCTTCCGAGCACCTACGTGTGAATACAAGCAGCGGAAAAAATTCACTGTGAGATGGCCAAGGCCTACTTTAATACTTTGTCAATTTATGACTCCCACTATCTGAAGGAGTAAAGAGAGCCCCTGATCTGAGATCAACAATTGGGGAAAGAGGGTGGCCCAGAGCTATGCAGTTGACAAATTTTGTAGCTTGTGGGCATCAAATGCTGGGAAAATACAGGAAAGAAACTGCCGATCCTACACAGCGTCCAATGAAATAAAATTGAAATTTGAAAAAAAGAACAGTCAAAGTCTCAGGCTTCTCAGATTGAAACCTGCAGGCAATTAAAGAGTAAAGTTCTTAGTAAACCAACTAGCTGTTTTGCTGAGTGGATCTGTCGTTTGAGCCAACGGGTGTATTCTTTTGTAGTTTGAACCAAACCAGTTCGGTGACTCTGTCCTTTTGGACCAGGCAAGCTGTTTGCTTTTGAGTGACTATCATCTTCTCCCAAACAGCACAAGTGGCCATTATAGCTGCATTTGGGGCAACTTTCAGTCTAGATACAGTGATAATGGCCAGTTTAATTTGGGTGAAGATGGTAGTAATTTGTTTGATGAAACGTGTGGCACAGGTTATTGGCCGGTGGGCACGAAGGTCTGTGGCTTTTGGTTTCCAAGAGGAGATCGGGAGGTTATAAGCAATGGCTATGCAGTTGCCGGGGAGGGAGGGCGAGAAGTGGCAGAGCGCAATGCCAATGGGGATGGGGGAGAGCTGCCGAAGTCTCTGTCTGAATTCTTAGGAGCTGCAGAAGCTGTGGACCCCCATAACACAGGACATGGAGAAATCACACAAAAGCCAATCTACTTCGGGTTTGGGTCAATTGGAAGGTGCGTTTTTGTAGCATGGATGTGCTTGTGTACAGATGTGAGAGAGCAACTGTGCGAGTATGTGTAGCATGCACATGCATGCATGTATGGGTGTGAGGGAACACATTTGCAAGAGAACAACTGTATTTGCATCTTTATGTCTGTGCCCGGACCATGCATGTGTGCGCTTTGTTTCCTTGCCCCTCCCCCTTTTCCGGTGTTACTTTGTGAATCCACTCGATCAATGTCACCCCAGTAATGCTCTGTTGCATGTCAGGGGCACAGACACAAGCACAAAGAGAGAGAGAGAGAGAGAGAGAGAGAGAGAGAGAGAGAGAGAGAGAGAGAGA